CATCAGAGAGGACGGGTGGGATGGACTTAGCGCCCCATCAGCGACCGCGCTGGACAGACTCAGGCGCAGGCCAGGGCGGCTCACTGCACTGCCCAGCCCACTGTACTGCCCAGCCCCCTAGTTTCCTGCCCAGCACAATTTCCCCTCCCCCCAAAGCCCCAGTAGATAGTTGTATGTCATAGGTGTACATCCTTCTAGTTACTGCATGTGGGACGCGGCCTCAGCACGGCCGGAGAAGCGGTGCGTCTGTGCGCACCCGGGATCCGAATCCAGGCCACCAGTAGCACAGCGCCTGCACTTAACCACTAAGCCATGGGGCCAGCCGCCAGCACAATTTGAAAGCCACATTCAAGTACCTACCTCGTCCCCTCTTTGTTCTGCCGAGACATAATTCTATCTTTTAACTTTAAAACACATTTTGCCTTTTCAAGTTACAATTCTGTTAGTGCATCTAAGGGCCTCAAGTCTCGTGTTTGCTGTCTAATCGGTAAACCACAGCAACCCACAGCACCAACCCCTCTGTACCCCGGAGTTTTTGATACAATTATTTTATCTGATTCAGGATAATATATGCATCCATGCCCATACATCCTGTGTGGCTTATATTGCAAGTATGAGAACAGTGGCTTATACTGCAAGTATGAGAACAATGTGTGTATTTGGTGTGGGAAATAGATGAGCTGGGGGAAAAAAATGAGAAATACATAGTCACCTTCAAAAAAACTATATATCCTGGAGTCCACGTAAAATTTGAAAAAAATACTCTGGCCATTTTGGCATCTTTTCTGATGAACTATCTTGCAAATCATCCTAAAACTCTTCTGCTTATGTAAATAAAGAGCATTCACATTTTGGTTTGTGTTCAGCCAACACAAATAAATAAACCACAGATCAAGACGGGCTGTCAAAGGATTTAAGCCACCTCCTGAAACAGGGTAAAAAGGTCTTACAAATCTCAAGAACTCCAAGATGTTTTTATTGATTTCAAATTCCAATAGAATGAATATGTTTTATCTAAATATTTTTATCACATAACTGAAACATTTTTTCAGAAATAGTTAAATACATCAATCTAGTGTATTACAAATTCTAATATAAAGAGTACAAAATATAGTTATGAATTGTATTTAAAAAAAGAAATACAAATTCTATGGTCTTTTGCATTTTACTGCCTCAAAGTATAATAGCAAAGTTGATGAAGAATGAACATTTTCCCCCGGTCACTTCCCACGGGCATGCTATGGGCTCTGGGGGCACCTACACCATCACTTGAAATCCTGGCCCATGAGTTTTTTCTTCTTCTTTTTTTGCTCAGTGAATAAAATGTTCTGTGATTAGAACTCAACAAATTTAAAAGGAGTAAAGCAACGTACACTACATCAGACACATAGACATCTGAAAGTGGGAAGGTGCAGTTACACAAACCCAATTCTTCTTTCTTGTACTTTCTGGAAACCTCTTGGGGTGTGGGGGTGTTATTTGTCTTGTTTTAAAGAAGGAACGCTGGCAAAGGGAACCGGGCCACGAAAAACCAGGGAGGCACTGTCCTTCAGGCCCAGACCGAGGACTGCCATCACTCGCTGTCATCCTGAAGACGCTCATCCCGGGAGCCACGCTCTCTCTCGGCGGAAAGAACGTGAAGCTCCCGGAGCCAGCTCCCTGGAGAGGAACGGGAATGGCGAGAACCGCTCCTCGCTGCGTCCAATGCTGCATCCTAACGGAGTGCTGACCTATCATATCTACATGTGCGTGTGCCTTTATACAGACGTCTATATAACGTTATACAGCCCGTGACAGAGGGCCCAAGCTGAAGGTGGCTCTTGACATACTGGGCAAAATCAACGTTCCCTTCTCTTACCAAGTGTCCATACATAATTCCCAGGGCAATTTCCTGCAGCACGTTCTTTTCAGGAAACCAGTGCCTTTCTTGGTTTAAAAAATAAATAAGTAAACATTGGGGAGACCTTTTAAAGCATTTAGTACTTTTCAAAACCAAAAAGGCAAAAATCCACTTGGCTTGAAAATTTATGTTTTGACCAAGGTGAAATTTATTTATGCATCTGAGATTGCCATAAAAACTTCCAGGAACCAGGCAGAAAAGTGACAGAACAGCTGATGATTTCTCAGAGAAGATGACTTTTCAGAGAATTTAAATGTTCATTCTTCAAATTAAGGAGTATGAGTGAATAACCTGAAAGATTTCTATAAGCTCATTATTTGTGTGTTATTTGAATTCAACAACGAGTAAGAAACGTCAGCGGGGAGGAGGAGAGGGTGAGGAGGAGAGCCAGACCAGCAGAGCCGCACCAGGAGCAGCAGGAGTGCAGGAGGGGGGCAGGGGAGATACACAGAGAAGCTGTGGTGTAGACAACCAAACCCTTTATTGTCCAGGTTACATTAGATGCCAACACTGTAAAAATCCTGTTAAGAAACAAGGAAACAGCAGACTGGTAGAGGTAGTAGAAAGTCTGTAACAGTCAGAAAGTGACTCACAGGAGAGATCATGCGGAAATTATCATTCAGAAAAAAGCGAATCAAAACATATTGGCTAAATAAATAAGAAAACACAAATCATATTAAATACTATGGTCGAACTGACACAAACACATTAACAAACCAATACAATACTGATGATCAGTGGAAGAAAGGAACACCAGCAGGCCCGAAAACGGCTTGTCCTGGAGGGTAGCATTCTCGCGGGGTCCCCCTCCCGTCTACTGAGTCAAGAGAAAATCTTATCTCTGTACTCCGTGCAGCACACGATTGTTTCAACTGACTCGGGTTGCACACTCCGGCCCCGGGACCCCGGGAACGCACCCCTCTCTCCACCAGGCCCCTTGGAACAGAGTCTCCCAGGAAGACGCTCCCAGCTCTGAAAGCCGGCTCCCGCGTGCCACTGCGGAGACAGAAGAATGGACACGACACCTCCGTGTCACTTTGGGTACAGAATTTCTTTTAATAACTAAAACACAGAGAAACAGACAGGACTGAATCACTAGCCCCTGTGCACTCCTGAATTGTCACCGTCCACTTTCAGCCAAGAAAATAAAAGCCAGAAAATGCAGAAATTATCATTTTGGGGAAACTATCGCAATGATCCAACATAAATCAACAGCAAGGCATTTTGATTTCTAAGGTGAACAGAGGAATGTATCTCTGCAATGTATCTTTGCTCGAAATAACTTTACAGAACAGTCAATTACAGTCGTGTCATAGTATCTGCACGGACATTCCTAATTAACCAACACGACAGATCATTCTGGTACACATCTGGTGTAAGAATATCAGGAAAAAATAAGTAAAAAAACATATATATATATATACACATAATGTAAATATATGTATATATATAAGCTAGCCAGTTACACTGCATTGTTTGCAAAAGTTGCAAAGTAACCTGAACCGTCAAGTAATTTAAACTCAGTAACAAGTAGAATCCAGAACCAAACATTAACTAATAACAATAACAATAATAATAATAATATAATAACTCAACAAATCATTAGAACAGGAAAACCACACTTTAGTTTGTGTGTGTGTGTGTGTGTGTGTGTGTGTGTGTGTTTAAACAAGTCTTTGTATCAGAAGCCCGTTTTCTACAAAAACTGCACTAATCCATTACTGTATTAAGTAAACGGTCGCTCTCACCAGTATTAAAGGTTAGGATAATTTCTGTACATGTAAAATTATTGCTTTTTTTGAAAAATATATTTAGCATGCTCGTTTTTAATCCATTTCCTGCCTTTACAAAATTTCACAATTAAAAAAAACCTAGTAAAGCTTTTGCAAAAAATTTCACAGAACGTTTTCATTCAAGGCAGCAGTAACTTTCGATAATGCATAAAATCATATGTGCAAAAATCTGAAACTCTCAGAAATATTACCATCACACACAGTGTCACGGTAATAGAACAGAAAATATTTATATCTGTGGAATACAACGTTAACTGCATACACTGCAAGGTTTAAGATCCTTGGTTACAGGCCTTAACCCCCACCACAAAAACTTGCATTTGCGTGACTGAGGAAGAGGTATATAAAGCCGCCCCCACCCACGGGCCTGGGGACCTCCACGGGCCTGGGGACCTCCACGCACCAGGAACCAGGTCCTCGTCCTGTGGAGGTCCCCAGGCCCAAGAAGGAAAGACACCTACTTGCTGGGGTGGTGCAGGGACAGATGGAACAGGGTAGGCCGGGAGAGAGGGAGGGAGAGCAGAAGGTTCCAGAGCACCAGCACCTGGCGATCTAGGGCCCCCAGACTGCTCAGGGATTCTCCTGCCATTACTAAAACGGGTTCAGACTGGGAGGGGTCAGTGGCTAGAGAATTTGTTAAGACGGGCAGTCTTCCTTTGTGAGCAGTTTGCAGAATGTAGCCCTGTTACAAAAAGGTCCTGAGAATAAACAAAGAAGCCTGCTTTTCTTAGTGTTCAGCTAGCTCTCTTTTCTGAAGCAGAAAGTGAGCATTCCCATAGACGCGTTTCCTCTGCCGGATTCACTCAGTACCAATGGTGGAAAGTACGAACGAGCACATGGGAAAGGCAAACGGCCCCCAGGGGGGTGCGATCAAACCTGTGAACAGTGAGGATCTTGTCACTGGGCCCTGCTCCATCAAGCCTGGTTTCCACAGCACCTGAACGCCACCTCCTGCCTCTCTCTCCTTTACTATTTTAAATACTCACTAAGACAAGGAGAGGCCACGGTATTAATACTTTGTCAACCTCAACTCCACCTCTGTTTGTTCTGACATTACCCCGACAGTCCTTCTGAGCGTCGGTGGCTTCTATTACAGTGCTTAGCTTCTTCACTCTGTCCAATACACACAAGAATCTTTTTTCCAGTGTCTCAAACTTGTCTTGAACAATATAGATGCCTTGTGCTCCTACTATGCCTGACAATATCATTGTTTATTTTAAGAAAAATATGGGACTGTGGTCGATGAGCACATATGTGCATATAGAGTATCTACATGTAATTCTAGAGTATCTCATCTTCATTTATGGTTAAACGTTTAACACGGAGAGGCATCTCCCGTCAGTTTCCACTCCAGCACAGCAGCTCCAGGACTGGAGATGTCCAGCTGTTCTTCCATGGGGTAGCCAGGGTCACTGTCGGGAGGCTGTTGGGACATCCGTGAGGGGACTGCTGATGGCTGTCACAGGGCACCGGGGTACGCTGGAAATGTATCTTTAGGTTCCCTTTCTGAGAGGCACTGTCTGGACGGCATCTGTGTTAGAATGGTCTCTCCCCTGGATGAGAAAAAGGAGACAACAGAAAAGCTCATTTCTGCCTTTTGGTGTCTAAGTGCACTTTTCCTATTAATTTTCTTATCAACACCCAACACCCAAGAACACAAACAAAGACCTTCACAGAGCAACCTAGCCAGGTCGGCAAAGACCCCTGACATTAGCTGTAACTCATTTACACGAGCACGAGACGGTTTAAATGTGCCTTCCTGCCTTCCAGAAGCAGCCTTAGGAAATCACTTCCAGTGACTGAGAGAGGATCGTTAGACTTCTCTCGCTGTTTCACACATAAGAATGGCAAATAATAGCGTCTGAACCAGCTCGGGAGAAAAGGTTAAAAAAAAAGGCAAGATTGGCGGAGGATTCAGAGAAGCAACATTCTGTACTACAAAGCGGATCTCCATGTGAATGATGGTTCCAAAACCAGGCTGAATTTGGAGGCCCTACAAACAAAAGAGAAGTGCGGCTCTCACATAGGACTGTCAGAACCTGAGAGCTCTCAACAATTTCCATAAATAATTATCATGTTAGGAAAATAGAAGGGATATTCTAAAGTCAAGTAAACTGCAAGATAGAAATGAGAATAAATGTGAGCCTGCAGCTTTTAGAGAGTGCTCTCAAATGACACTTGAAGCATCACTGTTTGAACAATGGAGTTTACAATCTGAGGACAAAAACAAGAGAGCAAGATTAATCTTACTTAACTGCATTAACCTCCAGCTAAAGTCTTGATGAAGTGAAACCAACCACCTGACATTAACATGCATACAGAAAACAGAGCACTCACGTCACACTCTAACTGGTTTCCAGCTACGCCCATAGGAACCCTCGAAATAAGTGGCGGGGAGAGGTCTGGTTGACATAATGAATTAAGAGCTTCTCTTTCATTAATAGTTTCAGAAAACTCCTATTTAAAATTGGCCCTCCGTTCATGACATCTACCAGTCGACATCTAGTGGAAGTCAGAAAGATATTCAAAATTTTATGGGGGGCTGGTGGGGCTAGCACAGCGGTACACACAGCAGTTTATTTGCAATGTAGGAAACAGTAACTGAATGAGAGATGTGATAAAACATCCTTAAGTAGGTGGTGAGTTTCCTGCAGTAAACTGAGAGGGATGTTTTACATTTTTGCACAGCGACATCACACCATGGAGAGATTCATCGTCAACAGGCCTCATTCAGAACTGGTTCTAGCTACGTTCAAGGAAGGAATGGCCTTTGCGTTTATGGAGAGAAAAACACAGGGCAGTGACTGTTAGCTGTCAGGCGATCAGCCTCGAAAGTGTCTAGGAAGTGACTGTGTGTAGCCAACAGATTTGCCAGTGATTCTACGAAGGGGACAAAGAACGCAGAGGAACACGTGTGCTGTGTGTGCCTAGATTTCGTATACACAACACAGACCACCCCCCAAGTATCCACCTGGATCTCTCTTCCTGTAGACCAGCATACAAGCTTGCACTGGGCGGTAAAAAAGACCATTACAGAGCCAACAGGAGATGGCCCTCTCTCCATTAAGGACTTAAGTCTTACATGGCAGGGCCCCGAAAGTTTTAAAACTATTTATTTAGAAAGACTGCAAAATCTGAATAATGTAAATACCTTGGTTGTTAAACTTAGTCTGTAAATCGAGATGCACAGATGCCTATTTTCTCTTTATAACTGATGGGATGTGTTCAAATAACATCTCACTTTTTAGGAGAGTGGTTTTCACCTACTGATTCATTGCGACCAACACTGCATGACTCAATACAGCAATCCCAGAGGGTTTTAAGAAATGAATGACATTCACCTGAGAAACCAGGCACGGGGGAAAATGCAGCTATGGAAGAAAGGAGCCACAGAAATACTTAAATTACTTGGACACATAATATTTTGAGAGCACACTCATTTTTTTCCTCCTACAAAGAAATAGTCAGAAAATGAGAAGCTCACTTTTAGAAAATGTGGCTTTTCTTTTTTGCAGCTGTGTGAATTGTGGGCTTTTCAGAAAATTAATGCTGAAAGAAACATTCTCTTTCTTGAAGGCATCTCAATGTTCTAGGATGGATATTGCCTTCTGGAACGTGATGAGGTCTACTTCCTTCCCTTCTGTCTTTAGAAGGGAAGGGAATGTATATGTGCTCCTGTGTGGGGGTCGATGACACATTCACAAAAAAGCCTGTATCCCCCAGGACACACAAGAACCTGTCAGCCTTCAGAAGGAGCCTGCTGGACCAGGCTGGCAGGTGGTATGATGCTAAATGCTTAGCGATGTTTCACACAGTACCTTCTTGACTACGACCTGTACCCAGCAAGCCGTGAGGAAGCAGGGGCTCGTATTATGGTGACTAATTTTGGATAAACCATTAGTTGCATCATGACTCTTCATAGTACGTTGTACTTAAGAAAAATGGATAATGTGTTTTAAGATGTTTGTTTGGTTTTATGAATAAGAAAACTGCTTACACAAATAAGCTGAATTTTGAAATTTGATCTGTGATGCTGAGAATCTAAAAGTGATACTGAAAACAGATTACACATATATTCAAATATACCAACCTACGTGATTTCTTCATCATTTGCATTATAATATCCATAGCTAAAAATGAGACAAATTAGGTTGCTATTTATTTTCTCACTTCCTGTTATTTTGATTAATGGAATTATTTCTCCAGCTTAACTATTTTAAAATAACATTTAGAATAATAAGAAATAAACTATTAATCATAGTCTTTAAATTTTGGCAAAGAATCCAAACAAATCAAAACATCAGATTTCATATTTCAGCAGACGTTGGTCTGGTCTTTTAAATCCCAGAACCAGAGGGTTGGGGAGGGAGTGGGTTAATTTTTCTTGGTTTTAAACACTATTTTAATTTTTAACGTTTAACAATAATATAATGGAAAAAACAATTTCTCCACAACACTAAAAAAAACTTCCTAGTTTTTTCTCTAACATTCATAGGACAATGATACCCATATTTCAGCATATAATTTTCAAAAAATCTTCTTTCTAATGATGAATATTGATGATTACTAGAAATTAAACATGTACTCAATCATGCTAAATATATGACAAAACAACTTTAAAATGACAATATGCATAAACTCCTCCTCTCATTTAGAATTTTGCTCGGGGTATGATCAGAATTATCCTCATAACACAAGAAGCACAAACAAGGAGCCCCTTTACTCAAGGGCTGGAGGAATCATCCCCACAGCTGCGGATGCTCCACTCGTGAAGATGGCTCCTCACCTCTGGCGCCCAAACGCTTTTAGAACAAATGCAAAAGAATGAGATGCCAGAGAACAGACACTGTGACATGGACTACCTATTGGAAACCCTAGCATTTAATGTGGATCTTTAACTTCTAAGGACTCAGTCAGCCTTTCCACTCTGCCTGTCAGAGGAAGGCGCTGATAAAGAAGGGATTGCTTCTGGGACCTCCTACGGAGAGTGTGTGCCTGTAACTGAAGGGGCTTAACCAGCATACGTGCAGAAGAGAGACCACTACCAAAAACACACCACAAGGAAATTACCTTATTTCTCCTCAAAGTTCATGTTCATTCTGACCTAACTGAATTAAATCAATTTCAGCATATACCTGGACCTCAGGCCTGCTGAACTGTTTCACTGAGATCCATGGTACACTATGATTTGTTAGAATTATCCAACACAGAAAATTCAAATAATATAGCCAAGTAGGGGCAGGTGTTGTATGGGTGGGAAAAGGCCATCTGTCCACCAGCCTGAGATCTTCAGAACAGAGGAGGAAACCATGTCTCACTGACAACACTTTTCCCAAACCAATAGTTTTCTGTATCCTTCCTTTCAGGAACAACTAGCAACCAGCCTGTAAAACAGACCCAGACAGACAAGAGCATGTCCCAGCACACTGCGGGCTCTGACAAAGCTGGCAGACACCAGTAAGGAAACAGCCACTGGTTTGGGTCCCCGGCACATCCGGGGCGGGCTTGGCGATGACGGGCGTATCCACACAGGCGTGAGGCTGTGCACCACACGAATACTCACACAGTACCTGGTCTCCTGCAGGTATAAGGACGACTGTTCATTTCAGAATAACTGACAGTAACAGGTAACTCACTGAAGCGTGCCCTGTGCCAGGCAGGTCTCCTTTCTGTCTTCATCTTCACAGCAAGTATACAAGTGACGTTGCTGCTGTCGTTATTTTATAGACGAGGACACTTAGGTGAGGATCAAAGTTAGAGCCTTCTACTCAAAAGCCCAGTACCTTAATAATTTACATTATTCAGAGTAGAATCAGCTGACCTTGACTGAATTTAAATGCTGATAGCTGTTAAATATATAGGTTCCTGGCCAGGCTCGATCTTCTCCACTTCAAACCAATATCCTCACCTGCCTGTTGGACATTCCTAGTTGGATCCCCAAGAGGCATCTCGAACTTGGCTGGAACCTAACCTGGCACCGGTTTTGTCCTGCTGCTCCTGCCCCAGTCCAGGCTCAGGGAACGGCTGCTTCCCAGAACTGCTGCCTTCAGCCAGAACCTCAGGACCACTTGATCCCATCCCTTCCCCATCATCTCACATCCGATTCCCAAGTCCTGCCACGTCCCAAACCTCTCCAGGCCCGTCTGCTCTTCCCCAGCCCCGCCCTAACTCGTGCACCTCTGTGTCTCGCTGGGATCCCCAGAGCGCCTCCAAAGCGGTGCTCGGCCATCTGTCCGGAACCCCCAAAATCCACTTCGACCTACTCCAACCTGATGCTCTCTCTAGAGACACAACCCTGGTGACGTCATCCCCCACTCAGGGCTCTCCTCTGCCTTCAGGGGGAAATTCGTGCATGTCAGCGTGGCGCCCAACGCCTGGGGGTCTCTCCAGGCTCCTGTCCTGCACTTCTGCCTACCGGCACCGGCCCTCTCTCCCGCGGCCTCGCTGAGCTTCATGGGCTCCTGTAGCGGAACATGCTCCTCCACCGCTGGGGAGCTCTCGCAGGGGGCACCTGCCCTTCCGCTCCCAGCGGGTCTTCTAAGCGCCCCAAGCCTGGGCTCCGGGGCCCTCGCTGTATCACCGTGCCGCACCACTCTGCCCTGTTTTCTTGTCTACACTGCCTCCTGGACCTTAGGGACCATAGAAACAGGAAAAATATTTGCCTCGTCCCCCCAACATCCTGATTGCCTCCCCAATATTACAGAACCTGGCACACAGTAGGTGCTCAATAAATATTGTTAATGAGTGAATCAATGATTATTGTAAAACTGACTCCCAAATACTGTTTCAATTAGATAATTTAGCATCTATTATGTATATCTATAAAAGTCCATCAACTTTAAGTGTCACATCAAATAATTTCTGCACGAATACACGGTGTTGTATGATTTAAAAAAAAGTCCACGACCCACAGCTTCTAAAGCCCCCAGGAAAAGAATCTGATTTAAATATTAATTAGTTAATGTTAGTAAAGCACTCAAAACATGAAAAAGAACGAGGCTGGTAAGTAAAATGGGTCCCGTTCTAGATACAAATAACCACAGGATTGTTCCATGAATCCGTAACGTATCCTAAATCTAACACAATAAACAATGAGAACTACAGGATGAGAAAGAAAACAGCAATATTTAGACCTCTACCTATTAGTGAAATTTGTCAGTTATCTCCACAGACACATCTCTCCAGGAATTCCTAAAGACATAGTTCCAGAGTACAGTAAGGAAAACGGAACCTCCTTCAAGAGCCAGAACATCCCGGGATTCATCAACAAAAGGTACCTTCCGTGTAACGAAGGACAAGAAGTACTACCCAGACAGGATCTGGAGCATGGCATTAAACAAACCAGCTGCCCTGATGAGAGAGGCACACGAAGCCAGCTCAGTTTTAATATCTCAGGCCTGAACAACGTCTAACATGAGATGGAAAGAAAGACAGTTGAGCCACCGAGGGCCATGCACCAGGAGTTAACAGTTACCAAGACCACAGGATCGAGTCACTATCCACGTGGAGCTAAGAGGTTAGTTGGTACTAAGTATAAAATAGCAGAACTTGAGTTTATAAAGACAGACAAAAATATAAATACAACTTTTCTCTATTATAATCAAGGATGGGTAACAACTGTTACGAATTCCCAGCAAAACCATAAGGAACACAGAAATAAGTTAAAATACGGTCTCAGTGATTTCTTTGTTGATCTGTTTCTCCCTTGACGAAAGCACTTTCAAGAGGCTCAGGTAGAACTAATGCAGCAAATAGACTGACGTGTGGCCCTGAGGAGCCTCACTGCGTCATGCATCGACCTGCCTGGGGCTCCCTGCCCTCTCAAACGCTCTGATCGAAAGCCACGCCTTTGCACGCAGGAACACTCGGGATTGACTCCAGTTGTAATCTCAGTATGTAATTCTCCAATTACGGCATGACCCTGCAGTGACTACATCCCACAAACACATCACCGTGACTTGTGTCTCAAGGGGGTTTTATTTCTCTTAAAAAGAACAGCGCTACCCGATTCCAGTTGAGGTCACATATGTTCGGCAATCTTTTAATCCAACATTCAGCGAGATGTTACTTATTTCACAAGTTGTCATAGTATCATGAAATAACTGCTTTACATTCTAAAACTATGGGTTTTATTAAGAGAGACAGAAGTCACTGACTAAAAACTATCACACACGGCAAGGCATTGTGTCAACGGTATGTGGAGAAAAGGCTTTTCATGACAAATAGGAATTCTAAAAATGCGCTAAAAAACACAAACAAGTCCCTGGATCAGGTCACGTCCGTGCTAAGTCCAGCTCAACTGTCAATCAGCAGCACGCCCTGGGTAGAGCCATCCCGTATCTCCTACATTCTCTTCTAGTGAAACAGGCTGGAACGGTTCCTGAGGCTCCTCTGCCGTCTCGGTCACCATCATCACCGTCAGCAACCGTGGATCCCACAGGTGATTACACCTGCTGGTGAGGGCATATCACCTGGTGTGACACCCTGACAGGGCCTCGGATGTTAACCCTGGTGGCAAAGAAAGCCCTCCTCATTTGCAAAGGGGAGAGTTTACAGTTGCAGAATCTTCTAAGGCAACCGGTTAGAAAGCAAGCAAGTTATGTAGAAAACGCTTGTGGGAGAACGGGAGGATGGGTGTGACATTTGGTAAGAGGGACAGGAAGGGAGAAGAGCTCTAAAACCACATGCTCTCATCCCATGATAGCACGAGAGGCCACCTATGATGGCGCGTGCTTCACTGCTTTACAGCCAGACGCTGAATCCTAGCATCACTCGCGTCCAAGCACCCTGCTACGGTTTGTGGATACCAAATGCTTTACGTAACAAGGCCACAGACCTACAGTGACACGCATCATACGTACATGCACACGAGCGTTATGATGCATCATGGCCGTGCCAGTAGCATGCATAACGCAGATAATCAAACCAAGAAGAGGACACAGACACGAAACACCACACTCAGCAAAACACTTCTTACGGAGTAGAACAAAAATTCTCTTCTGAAGAAAGGAGACAAAGCATAGTCCGTTCTCAAGAAAACTTATGTGCAAAACCATCTTGGGTGGAAAAGTATGAATTGCTAATCTTTTAAGTCACCACCAGGGTCTCCCAATTCCCTCACCGCCAACAAGACTGAAAGTAGCCGAATCGACCTCAGCCACGTAATCATGGCTGAGATGACCTTCAGTGTTTATCAACCACCTACAACACTGTCCTCAAGGACTGGGTTCTAAATCAAAGCAACCTAAAATTATTTACACAGCTAGTAAAAAACCATTTGGTGCTTTCATGATGAACATCATGGCACACCTTTTCCCAGCCACCACATGAAAACCCAAACACCCAATTAATCGGAAGACCTACTTGTTTGGGGGCATCTGCAGAGGTGGCATGGGCTTCAGCACCTCGGAGGCCATTAGACTCAAACGCCACTGTGGGAACAAGGGGGTGCGTTAGCAGATGAAGACTCGGGCTTCGTCACCACGCCACACTAAACGAGTCCATTACACATTAAGGACTTTCACAAAGAAAGGCACCAGCGCCTAGCCCGTGGCCGGAAAATACCAATTTACCGTAACACTTACTGTAAGAGACTGTGATAATGCGGCCTGGGGCCACTGCCCTTTTTAATTCAGACTTCGCTGCTGAAGAAAGCCATCACTGACAACATTAATTATCAGTGTGTGTGCAGAGGGACCCTCCTCCTGCATTCCTTACCATCTGGCCTCTGTCATTTTGCATCAGACCGGCTCATGCATGCATCCTTCAGACTTCTAATAAAGCACTCTCGGTCTCTCTTCTCCCTGGTGCTGGGTGCTGGGTGCTGGGTGCTGTCTGCACAGACCCTGCTTTCAGCCTGATACGGTCTCAGGCAAGCACCTTACAAAAAGGCCCAGGGATTCTGCCACCCATCAATGACCAGTCCAAAGGGGGCCTGGGCACACACCACAGCGGCCGGTCAGTGCCAGTGAGGGAAAACCCGAGCCGTGGGTCATGCTGAAAGGGGCGCTTTGACGTCAGTGTGTGCTGGTGGCAGCAAAATTCATTAGCATATTCATTTTTGAGGAGTCTACTCTCTAATTAAAATGGAACATTTGTAAACAGGCTTATCTCAAATTAAACCACATGGTACTTGGATGCAAAGAAAAATCCTTTCAGGTGCGAGATGGGAGAGGCCAATGTGTAATTACAGAAGAGGATGCATTACTCCCACCCCATGGGCGAGATCTACACATGTCACCAACTGTGGAGAATGCAACAACCAGAAGAAGGGACCTCACGCCCCCACGTCCCCCTTGGGGTACTCAGACTAACACTGGGGTACGAGGGGCGGGTGGGGTACCTGCGTGAGCCCGCATGTGGGTCCTGAGGTTGCTGGGCTGGTGGAAGCACTTCCCACACTCTACGCAGACGAAGTCTCCTGGGCGGGCCTGCATCCGGAGCGTCCCTGGTGGCGATGGCCATGGGTGGTGTGCAGGTGAAGCGGCAGGGAGGGGAGGGGAGGCGAGAGGAAAACATCATTAGTCTGTCTGGCACATGGTGACAGAGGAACCTCCAGGCCCTGGGTGACAACTGTCAGCCTTCCTGGAGGCTCCCTGACAGCCAGGCGCACACAGGACCGCAAGGGAGCATAAATTACCGCGAATTAACACCCACTCTGAAGACGCCCTCTTGGGCCACCTGTCAGGTGGGCTCGGAGCAGCCGGATGCTCCCCCAGCCACCAAGGGCTCTGTCAGCAGCACATCACGCACATCGGAGTGATGCTGTGGGGACGAGGATGCTGCAGGGCCATGCATCAGGGAGCAGAGCATCAGTGCCCCACCCACCTGGCCCCTTACCTGTGTGCAGGCTCGGGGCACAGAGCAGACACCTGGGAACGAGCCCAGGCTTAACGCACCGGCTCCAGACTCCTTTCTGACCCTAAAAGACGCGCTCACCTTTCTGAGAAAGGAGATGCAGAGGCTGCTTACTAGTCTGGACAGGCGCCTGTCCTGGTTCAAGGCCTCTCTCTGAAGAAAACGCTGGTTTTTCATGTAATCTAGCTCCAGAGAGATCTCCCTGGGCCTGATCTTCACTGGTAGGCTTGGTGCTAACTCAACTCAATGGAAAAACAAAAATACTAACTAGAAAAGGTACTCCTGGGCCAGGCCGCTGGCACAAGTGGTTATATGCGTGCGGTCCGCTGCGGTGGCCCAGGGTTCGCCGGTTCGGATCCCGGGCGCGCGCTAATGCACTGCTTGTCGAGCCATGCTGTGGCGGCGTCCCATATAAAGTGGAAGAAGACGGGCATGGATGTTAGCCCAGGGCCAGTCTTCCTCAGCAAAAAGAGGAGGATTGGCAGACGCTGGCTAAGGGCCGATCTTCCTCACAAAAAAAAAAAAGGTTACTCCTGAAACGACGATTTTTTTCAACGATGCTCCTAGAGCTAAGGGTGTCTGTAGCTGAAGTCTGACATTGGATGTAAAAGGCACATGGAAGGATGACAGGGGGTCTGACTCAAATTAGCAGAGACTAAATCCTTCTTCTTCCTCTTGTCCTAAATCAGGGTGCCTCAACAGGCAAAATTAATGTGAAGTCACTCTCACATTACAGATAATGTTTATGGAGACAATAATCAAAGAAATGCATGAACTGTAAGGCGGATCTTGTCCCATTTCTCATTGGACAGGTCGTGAACAAGAGTCATAGAGAAATTTAAGAACTTGCCCATGAAGTTCTCAATTTCCCAATGCATCATCCAGGAAGAGAGAAAGAATAAGAAGACACATTGTAACCAGTACTAATCCCACTGTCATTAATGAAAAATCACTTACTAATGGGGACAGGGGGCCCCACTCACTGTGACACATCAAAAGCGTGACTGGGCCAGATCGACAGGGTGCCGGCCTACTCTGTGTTACTGCTGCTTCGTGCGTGCTCTTTCCGAGAGTTTTAACCAAGCAAGTTGGGTGGAAGGAGACGCTTAGGAGGGCTGTCTCCAGATGATCTATGTGGGCCTGGGGGCTCCTAAGGGTGCCTAGACACCCCATATCCACAGAGTTCTGAGTATACACATCTAGTGCGAAACGTCACCGCTGTCGATAGCTAACTGAACATGTCTTTCAGGAATATCTTTCCTTCCTCTTATTTTGGTCCAGGAAAATCGCAACTTCAAAAGCAATTTTGTTCCCCATTCACTTTCATCATGAGCTCCGTCCAGTTGAGATCCTATGAGAACAATCTCTGACGATTACTTCGGTGGTCTGGATTTTCCGAGGGATAATTGGACTGTAGCTAAATCTAGATTCTAACCACACCTACCCAGGATACTTACTAACGATGGCAATACACAAGACAGCATTTGCGTCTAACATTCACAACATTCAAAAACTAAGTCATCATGATACCTTTTTCTAATTCTTTTAGTTATTTCCTATACAAACTAGCAGCAGAAAAAAACAGAGCACTTTTACTCACCCGCCCTTATTTCCTTAAATTAAGTATGCATCAGCATGTGCGCGCACGCACACGCACACACACACACACAGTTTTCTCATGCCTTTTACCACATCACTTTCTCTTTACTTTTTAAAGACCCTTGCCCTTTACGGTCAATAACATTATGCCCAAGCCACTCCAAAATTCTGAGTTAATCACAAAGGTTATAAACTTCATTTGAATTGAAGACTACCTGGTGAGCAAACAGCTTTAACTCTCTGACCTAGAAACTCAAGTTGTATAGAAAGTGGACTCAAAGTGCAGAGGCCTGGCGAATCTTCCAGAGGCACGCACAGACTCTTCTCCACAGCCCTGCCACATGTAGCTTTATGATACTGTAATATGCCCACCTACAAGGGAAAAAAGGAGACTGAAAAGATTCTATGAAAATCCTACAAATATTCAAACAAAGGAAGTACAAATCCTTCATCATCATCATATTAATGTGTCCTTGCTACAAGTGACTTTTTAAAAGTCCCAATAAGAAAGATCTTATATATTATTCTATCTAGAATTATCCTATTCTATTATCTTCAATTTTTTATTCTAAAACCCATATTACTATATAATATAGGCTAGCCAAAAAGTCTGGAAACACAGATAATTTATTATTTTATTACTACTCTATCAACAAACCATTCACGTTACATTCATATATGTTTCCAGACTTGATAGCCACACTGTAGAACGACTGTAGAAAATGTAGTGTTTTTCACTCTTAGTGGGTTAGTCTGCAGGTCCCTAAGGGAAGCGACGATGGTCATTTCCATGTAACATCCTTCCTCGTCTGGCAGGGTTTCTAGACTATTCATTTCTATACAAACATCATTCAGTCGAAATACTTGTGGTATTTTGTGGTAAAGGTCTCTGAAAATTCTCTTTATTAACTTCTGAAAAAATTTCATGTCTTAGCGGCATCTCCTGATACCAGTGTTCTCCATTTAAACAGAACACATCCCTTGAAAGATCACAGAATCACACTTCTGGCACCCACAATTATTTCACGTACACCACAGATGAATTACTCTTCTCTTAGAAGATTCTCTTCTGCATATTTCTGCCTCCTCTACTACAAGGCCCTCTATGACAATACATTCGATCAATGGCCTGCACGGAGAAGTTGCGGTCTTCAACTCTGCAGACGACACCCCACTAGGAGATACACAGCAAATGTATCAGACGACAAAATAAGACCCCAAAAAGTGCGGACAGACTCACAGATTAAGACAAGTCAAAGGATTATTTTGAAAAGAGATGAATTAAATATGATTCTAGATTTACGGCACACAAATCAACTGTATAATCCTCAAGAAGGAATGGGTGCATGGCAACAAGTGGAAAACAAAAACCTTAGAATGTTTAGTTACTGGAGCATTCAGTAATGTGTCAGTAATGTAATTTTTTTTTGGCTGCATCTATTTCCTAAGCTGCAATAATAGAGGCAGAGTCTCCATAAAAGGAAACATTAATACTCTGTTCACCTCTCCAATAGTCAAACCACACCAAGCCTGCTGGATTCCTTCCAGCTACAAGAGCGTCATAAACAAACATTCAAAGAAGGGAAAAGGAACCAGTGAAGGCCCTGGAGGCCAGGTAGGGACTGCTAAGATCGGGGTGCTTGAGCCTGAGACGGGATCCAGGAAAGGCAGAGCACAGCTGGAATCTGGTTCCAAGACTCAACAGACCATCACACAGACAAGCTGGAGGCTGGTTCTGATCAGCCCCCACGTCAAGATCAGGAGCCAAACAGAAGTCCACCAGAGACAAAGGGGCCATCCAGGTGTCAGCAAGTCCCTTCTCACCAGGGCATTCAATCTTCACACACAGGCCGGTCAAGGGATTTAGACACGCTGACCTCAGTTCTTCCCTAAACCCGGGAAGCTACGATTCTAAAAATGCACTTATTCACTAGTGTATTAAGGCCAAAAAGTTTAAAACACTTCCCTTAAGAAACCCCAATCACAGTGAACTTGAACACCATAAATTTGCTGACTTACACCTAACTATATTTCAGTGTGTACATTAGAAGAGCAAATAATCCAAGAAGAACACACATGCTTTACGGACAATTTAGTATTTTTCGCATTTAAAAAAAATATTTAAACTCTCTTTTAAAAAAAAGCCTTAGAATCATTTATTTAAAAAATTTTAAGGAAAAGGAAAACACTTCAGGCTACTTTGACTTCAAATTCTGTCATCTGAAATTCTCAAATTCATAATTTAAAACTCACTTCTACTTTTTTGGGGGGAAAAAAAATCAACAACAATGTAGGCCCACAGGCCAGCACAAAGGGCCTTTAAAAACTGCGCAAGCCGCTTACTAGGTGTAAATTGGCAGGTTTAGAACCGTGTAATCCATGTAGGCCATTAGGGTATAACTAATTAAATTACAAGTCCGGTTTACTAAGTGGAAGTCATTAAAACAGCAGTGCAAACGTCTAGTTCACCCCGCTGGGAGGGCACAGTCACAGGGAAGGACCGGACGGAAGGGCGAGGAGAAGTGAGAACACAGGGCCTCCGCTGAAACGCACTGGTCATCTCGTGTCTAAAACTTCTTGGCTTTAGGGTCCACGAAAACCCACATCCAAAGAAATGAGGTTGGCATCAGATCCAAAAGGCCAACCAATACACTTTTATTCCATTTCATAGCAAATTACCTGCATGATTGGAAAATACTGCTGAGATTGTGTAAAGCTCACTTTATTTACATGAAACGTGAAAATGTTCAGCTACAGGGCAGCTGCCTTTCACCGCCTACCACAGGGCAAGTGCCCAGTTACACCTCAAGCATGGGGCCCCTTTGCCAGGAGACGGGACGAGAACCTTAAACAGGACACACCGGTGCTCACTGTGCCTTACGAACACCTCGGCATAAAGCCTCTCAGCAGCCTCCAAACTTCCAGGCCCTTAGCTTCATTCTAGAAAGTTCACAAGAAGCGCTGGCGCTGAGCAAGAGCCACAGAGCTCCACGCAATTCAAAACAGGAACAAAGGCCAGCCGCGGATAAAGACCCACTAGCAAAACCTCTAAGACTGCGGGACGCCTGAGTTTTCTCCTACTTGAAAAACACCTTAGTTTTTCTCTACGAATAAACACGAAGCAAGGGCATAGCTCCATCATGCCAAGACAGCTCCAGCGTGCCTGTGGGTCCAAAGGTTCCGTAAGTCGCGGGAGAAACCCAGAGACCCATATTTGTCCTCCAGGCACCATGCAACCTGGACGTCTCACACAGTGGATTTGGGGTGCCTCTCTGTTGACACAGCTTCTCCCAAACCTTGAACCACATCCTCCAAAAGTGCTCCCAACATCCTGGAATTTGAGGGACCAGATTTCAAAGGTCACTGTAAATGGTAACCCACCTTAAGGAATTACAGGTGCATGATGTACAATTCTATTCAAAGAAGGGTTAGGACCACTCAGGCAACAAACTCGAGACAGAGCTCCATGGTGGTTTTTGTTTGCCTGGTTTTTTTGGTTTTTAATAGGAAATACTTAGATTTCCCAGTGTTCTGGGTGTGAAGTGAGAGCTGCCTTCACTTTATAATCAAGAACACGGGTACCATATCCAATGCTTCACTCAATGGAGCATGTGGAAACTGCTGGCAAGTCCTTAACATTATTACTATCAGGTATCAATACTGCAATACTGGTAGGAAAGGAAGATAACCATTTAAGGTATTTTTTTTTCTGGAATTTTAGCACAAATCAATTCCCCAAACTTGATATAGTAAATTCATACCCTGCAAGGCTCTGCTTACCAATGGTGGAATCCTGATATCTATTTTTTTAATTATATATGTATAAAAATAAAACCAATCACTTCAGATGAACATTCTCGTCTTTTGAGAGGTAAGAGACAACGAATATCCACCGATTCTTGTTTAAAATGACCAAGTGCAGTGCCATCAAGGCTGCTCCCTCCTGTCAAACTTCAGTGTGGGGGAGATGTAACAGGATTTTCAAATCAACACTGCCAGGAGGGAAGCCCGGCAGGGCCACAGGTTAAGATGCCCACGAACACCAGGCTCGCACCCCCGCAGGCTGAGTGACAAGGAGGGGACGGCAGCACACATCTGCTATGGTCCGGAGCAGGCAGGGAGGAGACAGGGCGGGCTGTGCTGTTCTGCTCTCAGACACACAGCAGGTGGGCAGCATCTCGACCTTCTAAGGAGAGGCTCCTCCGTGAGGTCCACCGAGGCCGTCGAGTGGCAGCGTTCAGAGGGGAGGGGAGGGGGCCCGCACGTCTTACCTCTGTGCTCCAGTGCAGGCCCGCTGGCTCCCCAGCTCTGGTAGAGAGAAGCCAAGTCCTTTGGAATGTACGTCTTAAAGATACTAAGGATGTCCAGGCGCTTTTCATGGCCCTCGGATGCAGGCTCCTGCTTGATGGGGCGCACGACGGGCTGGGCCTGCAGGGCTGCGTTCCCTCTGGAGCCCACTCCACAGCTAGCCAGCGGACGCAGCTCCTGGCCGGCCTTGGAGGGGGGCTCTCGGGGAGGTAGAGGGGGGCCCCCATCACCTTTCACGTGCGGCTGACCCTGAGGCTGAGGGCTGAATTTGGCTTTCAGGGGGTCCGGGGCACTGTGCTTATTTGGGGGGCCAAGGCCAGCCCCCGTCGGGGGGATGACATACTTGTCCCCTGGCCTGCTGTTGGCCAGGGGCTGGGAGCCCGCCCGGGCAATGACAGTGGGCGTGGGGGTGGCACTTCTGCTGAAGCCGCCCCCACCTGCTGCGGGCCCCGGTCTGGGGCTGGCCTCCTGCTTGGGCCTCTGCGGGGGCAGCTGTGCCGGAGCACCATGCTGCTCGGGGCTGTGGCCAGGTCTGGTCTGCCTATGCCCGTCGGGGCCGGCCGTCCACAGCGCGCAGGGGCCCCCGGGATGGCTCTCCTTGCTCTTAGGCATGCTAGCGGCTTTTGTGGTCACGCCCAGGGGTGAGGAGCTGCCCTTGAGCCCTGGCGCCCCGCCTGGCACCTGAGTGCGCGTGAACCGAGCAATGGGCAGAGGCTGGCACTCTTTGCCCCCGAGGGCAGGCGGGGGGCCCGTGCGTCCGCTCCGGGCAAGGAAAACCAAGTTGTTTCTGATGCTTTTGTAACCATTGGGCTGAATCCACTGGGGGGCCATGGAGTTGCAGCTGACCCTGTGCCAGATGCGTTTGTGCATCCACAAGACCTCGGGGTAGTAGGTCTTGTGGCTGCAGTAAGGACATGGGTGAACGGCCAGAGCAGCTTGCAGCGAGGAGGCCAATTCCTTATGGCTGGGGTCATCCCGGGTCGACCGTTCGCTGAGGTCTAGTGGGATCAGGTCCGGGGCTGGCGCCCTTTTTCCTCCCCCAGAATGCTCCTTATTGTGCAAATCAGACAGCTTCTCTTTCGGGTGGCTGGCCTGGCTCTCTGACAAGAGCTGCAGATCTGCTCCTTCTGGAAAAGTCTGATCCGAATTTGATGGGAAGTTTGCAGCGTCCCTCGAGCTGGGGACTTCTTGCTTGGGATGAAATGCTGGCATCTTTAAGTCCATAGAGAACCTGGGCCGTTCTGGCCTCCTGGAAGCGTCTCTGCTGTTGTTTTCAAGTGCGGACACAGAGGCTGCGACCCCTGCTCTGGGTGCACCTGCGTCTCTGTCTGACGTGTGATCTCCACGTGCACGACTCTGGTCTCCGTTGGAGAGCACGGTCGAGGCCACGTCCTCAGCAAAGCAGCAGCGGTGTCGCCTTCCCCCTGGGGATCAAAATGTAAAGCATGATGTTACCATCTCTCATCAGAACACACGAGACACAGAGAAGCACATCCAAAGCGCCTGCAACCACTCAAGGAAAAAGGCCGGAGCATCCTCGGGGAACAACGCACGGGTGCAGAGGGGGCGGCTCGCAGGGAGCCCTGGAGGAGCTGACCAAACCTGAGGGCAGTGGGATAGTATCTGGGGGGGAGCTTCTCTTTCCAACTGGTCAAATGACTCAACAGACCGCAGGGAAACATAACATAGCTGCCTATCTAGTTACCTGTAACGACAGCTACTAGTTAACAGAGGGTGACTAGCTATATCAAAAAACCAGGAGAAAGACTTAATCCTTCCTAATAGCATGAGGCTTCCCATGGCTTTCAAAGAACTCTCTAACGCAGTCTCATCCACGGCTCCTGTGGACTTCATCATCACCCCTGACCGTTCTAAGATGAGAAGACTCAGGGAGGCTCCTATGCAGCCCCTGGTCACAGAGGCAGGACCAGGAAAGAGCTGTCTCTGCCCTGGGGACCTCGGCTGCCTCAGAGACTGCGGGGCTACAGGTGGACTTCAGCCTGATCCAGGGAGGGTCCCTATGACACTCTCTTGTAAGGTCCAATGTTCAAGTCCCAAACCTTGACACCTTAAGTCCCCTCTGAAGGCCTGAGAGGGAGGGTCAAGTCAAGCTGTCCACACACCCTGCCCGCACAGAAGGCCCAAGAGAACCGAGCGTCCTGGATGGGGACCCCAGCTCTCCACACCCGGAGTGCTTGTGCACGGACTCCCCTACAGCAAGACTCCAGTGACTGGAACCTGTCTCTTCCCGAGTGGATGCTACACGCTGGCCAGATCACCACACGTGGGCTCCATGGTTTTCAAGCTTCTGCAAAGTCAGACTAGACTACAACTCAACTGGATTCAACACAACTTAACAAAAACTCCGTTTAAAGTTTGCATGGATGACCCTGAGTTTATCTAAATCTAGAAGTCAAAATCCAGAAGATTTACAAACATTTCTGGAGATCATAAACCTCCCCCAACCACAGAGAGCAGATCCTTCATCATCAACACACCCTGGAGGTCGTTTATCGCATCACAGCCGTGTCACAGCAGAAACGGATGAAAATGTTAGGCGTTCTCTTAGAGAAGGCCCAATGCTGTGGTTTTTACATAACGTGTTTTAGAGATTTTAACATTCCGGTGGATGTAGGTATCTGTTTACACATTTTGGGACTTAAGACTTAGGAATCACATCAAACTGGCAAAAAATTCTATTTCAAAGTGATCCTCATGAAGGCAGGAAAGCATCCTTCACAGAAGGCGTTTACCACAGATCTGAAGGAGCACAGTGACACTCACATTTTCCATTAGCGCGTAGGTAGGGAGCCACTCATAAGCAATTAGACATCCACATACAAAATGTTACCAGTCTGTAGCGATCAGCAGAATTGGTGAGGAGGTACAACCAAGGAGGGATAAATTTTATGACTCCCATCAGCTCCGAAAGCTAACACTTAAGTAGAGTCAGATCCGTGTGTCTGTCATGTGATACCTGGTATTGCTCAGAAAGCACGCTGGGCAGCCCTGGAGAGCTCCACCGACGAAAGGGCATTTAACCTAGAATTAAGTACAGGGGAACATCTCGGCCTTTGTTTAATTCAGACTGATGTGCAGTATGTCAAGTTCACTTCTAAATTTTCAGAGTAACGCCCAGGGCTAATGGACCAAGTTTTCCCTGTATTAAAGGAATAGGGATTTATGAAAACACGCCAAAGGTGATCAGTGGAATTCATAATTGGAAACAATGAGGCCAGTGTAATCCGACGCTGCACATCCGCGGGGCTCTCTAAGCACATCTGTCAACGTCCCCGAACGTGACGCTCCCAAAAGGATTATAAAACGTCACAAGAGAACTTCCAGTCCCTCTGACCAAGACACTAAGTGAGAAACTAAAAGCAAATGACATTATCAGTGTCAACGATGGGGGCGGTGCAAAACTGTTATCAGAGGAAACGGTAACAAGAATAAAGACTGTCTGCCAGTGGCCTTCTAACTCCAGGATGACAACTGAGAATGGGGACTATCCATCTTTTGAGATCAAAATAAGGGTAAGAGGAGGGCAAACTGGGGGACCAGGTGCTTCCTCACACCAGGAGCCCGCGCTGTCACGCCCTGAGCCTTCGCTCACTGAGGTTCCTCGGTCAACAGGTCTGGTGAGGTTGAACTTCAATAGCAGACGCTAGGTCAGCTCCGAGAAGGCCTGCCAGCTGCCTCCCCATCTCGGGTCCTCCCCACTGACTTGGAATGGGCCCCCAGCAGCTTGGAAGCCACTGGAATAAACCTGCTCAGTCGAGGGGATTGCACAGTGCTGTCACTTAACACCGTCAAGCTTCAGTACATCCAGGACAAAGCAGGCCCAGAGGAGGTGCCACCCCAGCAGCCACGAGGGGAGCGGGACTCAGGGTTTCTGTTCCCGAGTTCTTCGGGGCCATCTCTGATTTTATTCAGGAGGGCATCTCATCTACAAGGTGGACTTCCCAAAGAAGTAAGTTCCACTCGCGCAAAGCAGGCCTCCTCCTCCCCACTCCTCCTGCAGACGGCAGCCAGCACAGAAGGCGTCCCCTCGGTTCTGCAGTGACGAGACAGGTTCTGCAGGGACACGGCTGGGCTCGTCCGTCTGCGGTGCTCACAGTTCTGTGCTCAGTGAACGCACAGCTCCGCAGAAGCAGCATGCCCAGGACACTTCCCGAGACTCAGAGGACAGACAGCTAACAGTCTGGAGCATTCTGGGTTTACGTAGATAACTGCATTCAACCCTGACCACGAGGCCAAGAGCGGGCATCTGGAGACGAGAGAATAGGCCGGAAAGGCCCAGAAGTCACTGCGCCCACAGGGAGCCCTGGTTCTGACGTTGGGCCGCAGCCCCGTGCCCCACAGCAGGCGCCTCAGGAGAGCAGGAGAGACCTGCACAGGCCTCGGGAAGCACGCCCCATCACGAGCCACATGCAGGCAACGCATGTGCTACACCACGGAGGAAACGCCGTCACACACGTGAGCACACACACATGTGCACCAACAGCAGTCTTTCTTCCACGGCCCGCTCTCTCCTTAGCCCAAACGATCAAGTTCATGACCTATACACGCCTCAAATTCCTCCGTCTCTTTCTAAATAGGACCTTCCTGGAAACGGTTAAAACGCCGACACGGGTCGGGCTTCAGCAGAGGTGACGCGTGTCCCCCTCTGGCGGGGCCTGGCCACCCTGCACACACAGGAGCACATCTCACGTAGGGACTCCCGCAGCCGGTGGCTGAGCGGAGGTAGGGACATCCTTGTTTTAAATCCGAGGCAACAGCTTAAACGTACACACAAACACACAACCAACCCCAAAACACAGAAATACAGTAATTACGGGCACTTGGTGTAAAAATTACTCCCCTTCCACTTTTTCCATTTTTTTTTTATTCTAAGAAAAAATTTACCATTCTAACCATCTTTAAGCGTTCCCCTTTCACTTTTATGACTGATCTGGGTTTCCCTGTGCAGTCTCTTTTCCGTTTTTATACCCATTTTTAAATCACTTCATTCTTAGTGAGTATCAGGGCCTCTTTTCTGTTCTGTTCTCAATTAAGACATGACTGAAAACCAAGCCTGTGTGTGGGTGCCCCTCCGGGAGACGAGGTGGCCCAGGACGTGGAGCCCACGCAGGAGCCAGCGGACCTGGGTCCTGTCCGGCTCTGACTGGGGACCCCGCGACAGGGCAGCTAACCACAGCACTGGGCGTGGGGCCTCCCACAGGGGCAGGCTTCTCCTCCCTCCTCTGCAGGGCACCCTGCACACAGGAAGGGATCCGGCGTCCGCAGAGGGCCCTGGGATGCCAGGCAGACTCGCGTGCACCTGACAGCACATCCTCCCTTCTATCTCCTTAGTTTCCGTTTCCACAAGATGGGCACTCAGTCAACGTCCTGCCTCAAATGCTGTTTCCCACATTCTCTAAGCAAGATCCTTTCCTTGTCTGGTTCTTTTCCTAAGTGATTAAAATAAGGATTCTTCCCATTTCTCTCTCCTTTTATTTTGCTTCATAAAGGGCATTATTTATTTCCACACATAATGTATATAACTTCTTTAATTCCACAAATGTAAAGGATTCTCTCTCCACCCAGCCTCTTCAGGTTTCTAGGGAGCGTTGGCAGGTCTTTTCCAGGGCCCGGGCTCCGCCAGGGTTCAGTGACACGCGGGGCAGGGCTGCCTCGGGAACGCTGAGGAGTCTGCGTGATGGCTGGACCTGTGCACCCCTGTGCAGTCAAGTCAGGACCATCACACTTTTGTGAAGGAATAGGAGGCCCTCCTCTCCATTAATAGGGAGTGACAAGTGAATGGAGGAACAGGTAACTGCCAACACTGCATTCACGGTGACATCCGATTACACTTTCGGCTGACAAGGAAAACGGCGGAGGGGTGGCACTGAGCTAAAAGGTTAAGAAAAGGCAAAAGTCCCAAGCTATAAAAATCATGCAGGAAAGAGAGCCTGAGTAGCATCACTGAGATTCTGAAAAAAGACAAGGAAGCTACTTGACTTCTACAGAGTCTTGGGAACACATTTCCCTCCCCACCCCAAGATGCTCCATCAGAACCACCATGAGGAGGTCCTTTCACTAACACCTGCTTCACAGTCTCCTGCAAGGACTTCATTTGGTTTTGAATTTCTCAACTCTTTATCACTCTAATTTCCTTTCTAAGAGAGAAATTCGGAGAGCTCCGCTTTTTCCTATTTTCCAGTGTTACTCTCTACAGCCGACACTGTCACCCACATGTGACATTTCACTCATGCGGCCAAACATCTCAAATGTTTTATTACACAATTCCAGTAACCGTAAGTCAGTTCACAAACTACCCAGGTACTATCCACACCCTTCTTTCCACAGCACAAAGGAGGAAAAATGCCCCGGCGTGTGGAAGCCGTGACGCTGGATTCTCACCCCAGCTCACCTCCCAGCTGCCTGAGGAAAGGGCCAGCCGTGCAGCCCGGGCAGTCCTGCTCCTGGGCCCGGCATGTCGGGGTGTCAGGGCGGGGAAGCACCCTCTTCACCTCAGTTCAGTCAGCTCAGGTCAAACACATTTGTGAAAAGTGTGTTCTTTCAGGCCCTCCCCCACAACAACCAAATACAGAGGGAGATACACGGCCGGTCTGTGGCCACACCCAGGGGCAGTTTAGCACACCTGTCGTCGAATGATTCTTAAATACCGTAGTTCACTTTTCAACACTGTACACACGTTCGTGGGACTTAAATCACACTGAATAGCAAAGGAAGTAGTTGGTAGAAATTTTAACACAGATCAAAACATATTTTGCAACTGACCTGCTGAGAAAGCAGATCAGACAAATTCTGTGAGCCTTTGTATTCTGGTTTATAAAGTAGGAATAGTTTCAAAATATTTTATTCGGGGTCTGGCAAAAAAAACCAACAGCACTATAAAAGCCCTCAGCTATATGGCACGACTTCCCTCCACTGAGAGGGCTACCACACTGGTCATTCGGGGGGCAGACCACGCATGGACCTGGCCTCTCCTGATAGTCTCGGGGACGAGACGAAACGTGGCTGGGATTAGAACACTGGGTGGACTGGAGCTGACCCGATGCCCCGGCCTGGACCAACAGGGAGGAGGGTCTCCAAAGGATGCTACGGCGTCTGTCCTCCCACAGCCCCACCACCATTTTTATCAATGGCCTAGACAAAGAAATGGGACTGGACAAGCTTGTCAGACCAGAAACTGACCCTCAGCTAGGAGGGAGAGCCAAAACCTTCACCAAAGAACAGAGACTCAGAAGCTTTCAACAAGATGGAAAAAAGGCTCAAAACTAACAAGACGAAATCCCATAAGGAAAAACAGGAAGTACAGGAAGTACAGGAAGTACAGGAAGTACAGGGTCTGCCTTAAGAGCTGCGCTGTGAAAAAGACACCAGGCTCCTAGGGGACCACAAGTTCAGATCAAGGAAAGCATCCTCAGCCACAGCCAGGGAAGCAAGGGCACAGACGAGCGCACACCTCACTGGAAGAGCCCGATCTTGGCTCTGAACCACACACTAAAGACACACAAGATGAGCAGGAGCATGTCCAGGACAGGCCCACGGGGGGAGCTTTCTGGAAACAAGTAATATGAAGAATGATTGCAGGAACGTGGACTGTTCCACCTAAAAAAGAGGGTAGTGGCTGGACTGCCACAAACTTGGATGGTCGTTCAGTATGTACTGAATGAATGATTAGTTCATCAAGGGAAGCATTCTGGCTACATACTAGAATCATCTGGAAAGAACACCACCAACACTGGTAAGAAATTCCCAAGGCAGGTGCCTAGACCTGCATTTCAGGGAGAAGCCCGCACATCGGTTTTCTCTAAAAACCCTCTGGGTAATTCTGCTGTGGCCACGATGAAGGAGCACTAGGGTCAGCACAAGACAAGCAACTGGGCGTCACTGGGAACCGGATTTCGGGTGGGGCCAAGGCAGAGAAAGAGCTGCCGCAGGACCAGGAACCCCCCCAGCAGGTGAGGCAGAGGAGGCAGCCCCCCGGGACTGTGCGGGGACGAGCTTCCTGTGGTCGCACAGGTTGTCCCTATGCCTCCTTCAGCCTCGGGTTCTAAGAATCGTACACAGAAGCGACCCAGCAACTAGCAGAAAGGAACCGCTGGTGTCACATGCCTCTTCAGTGTCATCACTGCTGCTCAACTCACCGTGCAGTAGTGCACTGCACACAGGTACGTTTGAGGGATTGAGGGGGAGACACTACTTTTAAAAAAATGCTTTGTCATTGCTTAATTTATAACTTTAAAAATAGCAAGCTATTTTGCTCTGAGGAGCGCAGCAATCCTCCATGTAACCTTGGAATGTGCAGGAGGACGTGGTTTCAAGTCTGGGGAAAAGGCACTTTGTAACAGGAGCCTCATTTCTGATCCTTGGTTGCCTTACATCGCCTCACACACAACAACGCGCCAGCCCAGTTCAGATCCATTTGTTTATCATATGACGATGGCTGTGTGCCTCTGACGTTTATTATAATTTCTTAGCTTCCCACTCTTTTGGTTAAAACGAAACACAAAACAGAAACTTCTCGCTAACGCCAACACCCCAAGCACAAAGGCATGAACACCTTTATCTCACTGTGGGCCTCCCCCAAAGACACCCTCGACAGACCCCTTATGTCAGCTGGAGCCCCTGCAAGCAGCTCCGTGTCCAGGGCACACAGGAAGGGTTTAGATGACGTCCCCCGCCATCAACAGATTCTGACCAGTCTCCCCAGTCTCTCCCCCCAGTGACTGGGCTGTGAACACAGATGACTAATTCTGAGACGATCACAAGCAAACCTCACAGGCTATCACCAGCTGCAGAGGTCTCCGACGGAACTCGAGAGGACACGGGAGGGTGGTTCACCCCCCCCCGCGCGTGCCACGTCGCTGTTCTGCCTCCTCCACGTTAACACCAGAGTCAGGCCGAGCGTGCCCCGGGACCCGCTGAGGGCCAGGCGAGCTCCTCAGTGCCCGCCAGCCCACTTACCCTCGGGGGGAGGGGACTATGGAGCCTCGAGATGGCAGGGCCCGGACACGACGGTGAGACGCCCAGGTCACCCCAGACTGTGAGATCCCGGGCCAGCACCACTGGGCTAGTCTCAGGACGCCGTCCCCTGGAGCCTGGCCCTGAGGATCCCCAAGGGAACGAGGGCCTGACCTGCAGCAGGAACGAGACAGGTGTTGGCGGTCCCCTCCATGAGAAGGGGACTCTCTGCTCACTAACGCAGCCTAGGAGCCGTGCCACGTCCCTGCATCCGTGACCTGCCTCGCAACATGTCTAGGAGGTAAATGCTTCAATCCGCATCTTGCAGATGAAGAACTGAGGCAGAACGCAGCTTGTCAAAGGCCTCGGGTTGGTCGGGGGTGGAGCCTGGATCCCAACACAGCTGTCTGAGCCCAGCCCTCACCCTTGAGCATGTCACTCCTGCCTGCTGCATCCACAGCTGGGAAGGGCTGGAGGGAACAACGCTGGCTACTGGCTGAGGTCCTGGGAGCACGGAGGCTGTGCAGAGGAACTCGGCTTCCTCAGGGGCACTGGGGAGGGCTGGGGGGCTTTTGAAGGGAAGAGAGGAAACGCTAGGAAGGCTCTGCATTTCAGGAAAAGGGCTCAGAGCAGGCCTACCAGGGCACGGCGATCGGGGACATGAGCGTCTTGGAAGGGTGGCATCCGTCCACCAGGCACTTCTCCCTGGTCACTCTGCTGGCGGCCTGTCCTAACCACTCCGACCATCAGGGGTCTTGGAACTGAAGATTCTTCTGCTGCGTGTGCAGCCATGAGAAACATGCATGCTGGGAAATTCCTTAGGGAGCCATGGTCGGGAAGCTGAAGTTAGGGCAGTTGTCCCCAAACACAATTCATCAGAATTGCCTGGGCAACCTTTTCAACTGCAGGCTCCCGGGCTGCTGCTTCCAGACCCAAGGGACCCATGTTACAGGAAAACAGAACGGAGCGAGACTTCCGCAGGTGGCCAGGCGCTCAGATAAGACCAGACAGGAAGGTGTCACCGTGTCCGCTCCACCTCGGCCCCTCGCCCTGGGGAGCTGCACTTGAGCTGGCACTGACGGCCGTGATGCTGACAGAAGGACCCAGAAGGCAGCAGGAGGTCGGCCCAGGCCCACTGCAGGTGGGCAAAGGTGTGCAAGCACGGGGCCGAAGTCCAGTGTGTCTGCACAGAAACTGCAGACAGAGAGCAATGGTGCGAGTCAGTAACGCAACTCCTCCACCCCGGCTCAACCGCTCTCAGCTCTCAGTGGTAAGCACGCACTTCACCACCAAAAAGCATCCTATTCTAAGGCAAAAAGTCAACTGAGGACTCAGATCTGACACTGCTTCCTTAGGGCAGTGCCTGGCCACAAGGGTGAGGTTAACGCTTTGCTCTTTGTCCCCATGAAAATGAGGAGACTGGACAGAAAAGGGAAGAAGGAGGGACACACAGGATAAAGACCTCCAGTTTCCAGATGAGATCAAGCTCCAAGTGGGACGCGTCTAACAGCAGATCCTCGGGCCTGGATCCCTCGGTCAACACGGCTCTGGGTTAGAGACAGGACTCTTCACCCAGGAAGTGGCATTCCCGGGTTAAAACTATGCCCCAGCGTAGCATGGTGGTTAAATTTCTGCACTTTAACCACTTCTAGCAGCCCGGGTTCGGTTCCTGGCCATGGAACCACACCACCCATCTGTCAGTAGCCGTGCTGTGGCGGTGGCTCACAAAGAAGAACTAGAAGGACTCACAACTAGGATATATAACCATGTACTGGGGCTTTGGGGAGGGAAAAAAGAAAAGAGGAAGATTGGCAACAGACGTTAGCTCAGGACAAATTCTTCTCAGCCAAAAAAGAAAAAAAAAAAAACCAATTCACTCCCTTGCGCTTTGAGTCTCAGAAAACCAAAAAATACATAAGTAAATACAAACTGCCCCAGGTCACACAAGATAACACTCACCTGAGAGGAAATGAAGCATGGGGGGACCCTGAAGGTTCCAGGGCACAGAAGGAATCTCAGACGGAGCAAGTGAGAGCAGAAGAGAAGGCGCCCGGGAGAGAGCGCTGATCCATACACGGCCTTCCTCCATCTGCCACGCTTTCCTCAAACTGAACGACGGACAGTCTAGAGGAACTAAGACTCCACTCCACATCCGTGTATTTCAAACTTTGCCCCCTTCCTTTTAAACTCCTTTGCTTTAACTAAACATGTGAATGAGCATCCGGCCATATGGTCACGTGGCGGGATTATTTTACACATCCTGAACAAAGTCATTGAAAAAGCCTCCGTGACACCTCAATGGTTGTAATGGAACAAAGCTCAACCCAGGGAATTTCTGCCCCGTCCAGCGTCCTCACTAACCCAGGAGTGTGTTCCCCACATGTCAATCACAACCCCACTTCAGGGCCTTTGCACCTGCTATTTCCTCTGAAACATTCTGCACCCAGAAGGTCACAAGGCTTTGCTCCCTCATGAAGAAGCATGTCCCGGACCACCCTGCGTGAAATATCCCCACACACACCCCAATCCCACTTACTCTGTTCGGTTTTCCCTGCCAACTATCTTCCCTGGCATTGTATGTACATATTTGTTTATTCTCTGCCTCTCCCCAAAAGGATCTGAGCTCCAAAATGGCAAATCATCTTTTATTCACTGCTTTATCACCAGCATCTAGGGCATCTGGCACGTGGTAGATGTTCCATAACAAATATTGAATGAATGAATAAAATAAGTCATTTAATGTCCAAGATTCACGTGTAGGAGAGAGCACCTATGAAAGTACCATAAAAAGTGTTAAGTGCAACATGAATTAGTTAATTCAGTGAGTATCTCTTAAGAGCCTGCAGAGAGGAAAAGTCACATGCATGGGGACAGTCTCAGGGGTGCAAGGGGTCCTAGCAGCACAGAAAAACTACCGACCCAGTCACCAACCTAGTGCTGTGCTGGGGTGGTGCCCCAGAAACAGAGCCACTGTAGTAAATGACCACTGACAGGAGCTGGGGCTGGACACCAGGGCCCCACCCTCAGCCTGGTGATCTCTTCACTATTTATGGTAATAAGACTCCAGATTACTCAGACTTGGAGAGTTCCAAGGGGACCCACCCTCTGGAATCCCTTGGTCCATGAATGAAATCTGACACCTGTTCAGACTTCATGAAGAAAGGTCTGGCTGGGACAATATCCTTTGTCTAGTTCTTGCTGAAAACTAAAGACTTCCTATGACTAAGGCCTTTCTCCTGCCAAGTTCCCAGAGATCTGAGAACTGAACTTTGACTTTTATCACGGGCCACGACCTAACTCAGGCTGCATTTACCGTGAATTCTACCAGTACCATCCACTGGGCCATGAAATGGTATATTGATAACCAGCCAAATCAATACTTGATCTGTTAAGGCAAACTACTGACGTGACCAATATCCCAGTCTCTGGTATTCTGGTAGACTGTGTCTTTTAAAAAAATGTACAAGATTTTGCAATGAATGTGGGCTGAATCTGGAAAAGAAGAGTCCAATTTTATCCCTCATTTCCCAATTAAGACAGGGGCACTATGCAGACATACTGCACCTTACGGTGATCTGCCAGATGGAGACGTGCTCAGGCCCATGGGGGCCCTACCGCTGTCTCACGAGGATGTCAACAGATGACTTCTTTCCCAGGTGACCCTGCTGAGTAACTTCTGGAGGAGAATCAGACGCCATGGGAGACTTCTGACTTTAAACTTGACTATATTCGGGTTGGGTGCTCTTAAGGTAAATCATTGAGTCTCCCGTGTACAGCAAATTTCCAGAACTTTTCATACTGGACCCCAAATGACCTCAGGTCATGCAATTCTAGAAGAGGAACTTTCTCTCCAAAATAGGTGCAGAAGCCCATGGTGATGAAGTAAAACTCAAAATGACGGTAACATATAGCACTTCACAATGATTGACCCATCCTGGTCACGCCATAGCAAATGGTGAGGAACATCCTGCCCGCCTTCCAAGGCCCACACATTTCAGAGACGTGACCTCGCTGCCTCCCAGGTCCTCCTGCCACATAACCAGTGCTCCCCCCGGAGATGCGCAAGGCTGCAAGTAAACCGGGAACGGATGCCTCCTCCTGGGCCCTCTTCCTGACCCAGGAGGTGACCCGCGCACAACCTGAGCATGCGATTCGACTGGCAGCCCCACTCTCTTAATCGAAATCCAGACTGATATTGGTAGTGATGACTTCAAATGGCAGCCAGGGCTTAGGGCTGACAGCAAACTGCACATTCAGTAATTGGCTCTCCCATCCCCGGTCTGTAATTATGAGATGCCCCTTCTTAGTTGTTCTTTTTTATTGAAAAAGAAAGATCTACCCACCTGATTCCACCCAAGTGTGGGGGTCAGGGAATCAGACAGAAAATAGCCTAAATCCAAGTTACACTAAAGTGATTTGAGCCTTACGTGGCACAAACAACAACCCTCCACCAAAAATAAAATATCCCTAGGACTCTAAGCCTGAAGAATTCTCACAAGAACTTCTGTATTAAAAATAATTGAGATTTCAGGGGCCAGCCCCATGGTGTACTGGTTAAGTTTGGAGAGCTCCACTTCAGAGGCTCAGGTTCATGGGTTGGGATGCTGCACGCAGACCCACACCATTCGTCAGCCGTGCTGTGGCAGCGACCCACATATAAAATAGAGGAGGATAGGCAAAGATGTTAGCTCAGGGCGAATTTTCCTCACCAAAAATAAAAAAATAATTGAGATTTCAGCAGTAAATTTTAATATTTGTGAGTTTCTAGTAACTTTTATAACAAATATTATCAGTTACCAAAGCCTGATGTGACAGCAAGAACGTCACAGTTTTTAAATAATATTTCTCAGAAGATCCTTCTCTTATCATTTTTAACCTGTCTTAAAAGGGGACAACCAGTAACTTAAAAAGATACAGGGTGGAATAAAGGCAGGATATTTCTCGAGAAATGAGAGCAATTAGGCATCAAGATTTAGTTGCAACGTGGGAGCTACTAAGACAACTGAAATGCAAGAAATTAACAGAGACACTGCATAGGTGCCTGCGACAAGAAGAGTCCCAGGAAAGATATCTGAGCTGAAAGAATCTCAGAAACAGAAACACTGATTCTCAATGAAATGCACTGAAGATCTAGCACTCAGCTTAAAACGCGGTGCAGGGGCATTAGTATCCTAAGATGTTTCGGATATGACGCAGAAAATACTTAAGAAAAAGTCTTAGCTGCAATATCCATGGGGGTTTTCAATTAACAACACGATTTAAGCTTTCTGTGCAAGTAAAACAAAGAAAATGATGAAAAACACTGCCCCGGGCTGGTTTAACCTGGAAGTCCTCCTTCTGGAAAAATAAAGGAACACAGCCGAGAGGCAAAGCCAAACTTAGCGTGTGTCTGTACAGAAGGACACAGGAAGGCACGTTAACAAGTGACCTACTTGGGGGGGCCGTGTGAGTAAGCCGGGGTCCCAGCACACAATGATACGTGGACACCGCCAGGCCCAGGAGCACCCCCTCCAAAGCGAAAGTACCCCCGGGGTCTCACCACGCTCTTCCTGGAAGCACAGCCTTTGGTTTCCACACAGAATAATAAAAACTCGCTTCTAATCGTCCAGGATCTTTCAAGGACAAGTCATCCCTGTGGTCAGAAAAGTTCCTCTCAAAGGAGTGTTTTACAGCTCTCTCACTTCTGATGCATGCAGTGTGAACTACAAAAATAATAAGAATAAAAAAGTCTGAACGCAGAGGACACTGGCGGGATTAGAACAGTGTGTGACAACTGACTACTCCATATTTTAAATTTTTTATAAACGAACATGTTTTATTTCCTAAACTGTTCGTGCTATTTTTTTCTGTATGATTGAGTATAGTATACAAGTTTTCATTTTAAGTAATTAATATCTGAACATAAATAACTTGCAGAACTGTAACTTATCTGCGTTAATGGAAAAAAATGTAAATATCTTAGTACTTTGGAAGCCATGTTTTCATTTCCGAAGAAAAACAGTTACAAATTAAAAACAGGATTTCTGACTAAACAAATTAACCATGTTACACAAGAAAATTTAAAGCTTCAAATCTGGGAAAGAAATTTTTCAGAAACTTTCCTTAGTGAGTACAAAATCAACATTTTAAAGGTTAGTCAAATACCTCTAGTTTCCAGCCACAGCTTGCAGCTACTAAACAGCAGTTTGTCCCTCCATAAGACATAATCACGTTCCAGAAATCCAGAACTTAATAACTGCTTCCTCCTTGACTGGACCATAAAAACGTGTCGCTCAGGCTGTTGCTGTTGTTTTAAAATCGAATCCACATAAAAAAGAATAGAATTTAAGTCCATGTTCGTGGCTACTGTACATTTTATACACCCTCCTTCGCCCCAAATTCTAATAGCAAACCGAAAAAAATAGCAAATTTGAAAAAAATGCAAATGCAAAAATGAAAAGAAATCAAACAAAACTTTACAAACCATAATCTGAATAGCAATGAACATTTCCACTTTATACAGGTAAAAGGAAAGTAAACCGAATCTTATAAAGAACAGTGGAAGTAACTGTTGAAAAGAAGGTACTTACACCACTTTTAGATTTTAAGCGTCGTTAAGGAAGCAAGAACAGAGGAGGGAAGTCAGCACATGAAGCTTGTTTTGCCCTCCGCTGTATTGCTTTTCTTAAGGAACAGGGGTCTAGGATTGCTCACACATTACCAAGAAGCACTTAACTTAAACCACCTGTGTCTTTTCTTTCACACATGTTTTAAGAGATCAAGAATGGAGGAAGACTTTGGAAGAGAAGTAACGCTGTAAATCTCCAGCATAAAAACAACTACTATACACACAACCCGCATTTACGTGGTTAAAAAGTTTCTTCTGCTGCTTAATTATCCAAAAATACAAAACCCAAATTCTTTGCATTTACAAAGAAATTATAATGATCCTTTAAAAAGTCGGGATTATTTATGAGTATAGTCTTCAGATTTAAAACCAGGCACGTGTCTGACTTACAGAACAAAGGCCATTTCACAACATACCCGGGCCGGGCGGCAGTGTGGGAGGAAGACACGGCCTTTCACTGGGAGCAGCTGCTCTGGGCGCCGAGGCGGGAACCGTCATGTGCCGATACCACCGCTAGATGGCACCTGCTCACAATTTATCACCCTCTCCCTCCCTCGGGCACTACATGTGTGGTCCCCGGATTTCAGAAACGGAATTGAAGAGGCATCTACTTATAAACAACAGGTATTTACTAGCAAAAGATACACACCAAGAACTTGCTTTAAAAATTCATCAGCACAATCGTGCACATTTCTTTGAAATACAGCTTCATCTGTAGAGCCATGCAACATTTGGAGGAAAGCACTTCATCGAAAGGTCTTAAAGCATCTTGTTTCACTTTGTCCATCGGTATTTTCAAAGGGTTAAAATACGGAGGGCTTTAAATTAACAATATACTTGAACTATCTGGCACAAATGAATTTAGATGAAATAATATATCTATATGCATTAGACTTTGGGGGTTATGTTACAGCCAGCATTATGCTACCTTCAAATGTCCAATTATCTGAAAACTTACTCAATTTAATGATCTAGCAATTGACTTAAAATATTTTAGTAATCTAGCAACTGACATGAAATTGTTTATCAGTAGGTATTTTTACCTTGGCTTCAAAGTAGTGCCTTTCAAAGTTAAAATACAGGTACATTCTAGGGGTTTGAGCCCTGTATCCCATCTAACAAGGTGGGCCGTGGTCTCTGTCACCTCTGGACTCAAGTCTGGAGGTCTGAGTTCTGGTCCCAGGGCCACCGATGTCTAATACGGAAAACTCCCTCACTCAATTTAGCCCAGCTTGGCGTAACACCCCTTCCTTCCTCAGGGAAGGTCTGCAAACCCGTTCTGTGGGCGACACTCTGCTCTGCTGTAGAGATGCACGTTACCTGCCCTCACGGGGCTCCGAGTTGGAAAACCAGGAATAACTTAAGACTGTGTAGGAAGTAGGCAATAAGACGGAAGCCACTTCTACAGTGGGCTCTTCCCTCTAGTGTGGTCTCCTGGAGGGACCACAGAGCACCCCGGCAGAGAAACTTACCACTGTGCCCCTCGTAGAGCGCAAGGCTGGGCGAGGCTGACACAGCCTTCCAGGCCTTCATTCGTCCACACTCACTGTGGAACCAAGCAGGAGGGCCAAAGCAGGGCCTCGCAGGCCAGCTGGGGCCAGGAGACTGGAGGTGGCGAGGAGAGGGGGGCCTGCCGTGGCCACCTGTGCAGGCACGGGAGCTTCAAGGGGGGAACACAGTCCACTGTACGCACGACATGGTGTGATTTCCTATGCCCTTTCATAAACAGAACTCGCCTGCGGCAAAATTAAAATTATTCTCACTTTTGAGTATTGTCATATACGTCTTCAAGATGATGGACTAATGTTCCAGGGTCAGCTATTTCTGAGCATTTGCCAGGATCTGCTGCTATCTAAACGCCCACAAAGGTAAAACTTGATTATTTCATGAAGCTAACTATACAAAATAAACATCCCATCCTGCCTCATCAAACATTCATTCTCTTATGGCTCCAGCTGATCCGTAACCTGGACAGTCCTGACCCAGGACTGAGTTAAGTGTGAATTACCAAGCTGGGAGCAGAGGGGTGGCCACGGGGAAGGTTATCCAGTAGGCGGCAGCTTGTTTGGCTGATAATCTCACCCACACCAGAAGGCTGGGCACAGTGATCTTACAGCCTTTTATGGTTATAAACATATAAATGAGTACAAAACACATAGATTTCCTGTCTCTCTCACATGAAGAGTTCAAACTATTATATAAACACTAAATCTTCAAGTTTCACTCCACCAGAGACACTTAGTGGAAAGAACTGTTTTATATTTTACCTAATAATTTAAGCAACTCTCCCCAAATCACATCACTAGATTCTTTCTGAAATCTCAGGCAGGCTGCTAAGCCACATTACAGGCTGTAACAGTGGGCTGTAATTATAGTGTTCTTCATTAAAATGCAAAAAAGAAAAAACACATATACATTCCTCCTCCATGACATTCTTCATTCCTTAGTTTTCACTTCTCTTCTTTTTTTATAAAGAAGAAATAATGGTATTCCCCTTTCTTGTACAGCTTTAGTTTTGCTCCTCACTTATAACTCATCTTCCACTTATACAATTTTTAAAAAAATCAAGGCAGAAAGAATTACAGGCCCCAATGCAACAATGCCGCTCAGAGATCTCGGGAAAGCCCCAATTACTAACGTTTATTTTCTCCATCATTTAGTCATATTTCTAATTTGAGAAGGAGTTGCAAAATAGCATTTCTGTGATTGTTTTCCAGGAGCTTGTTGGCTAAGCAGGAGCCCTGAATCTATGAATTAAACATTTTTAAAGCTAAGTAAAGGGTTTTCCATCAAATTCTATTAGCTGAACTCAAAAGGAAGGGCCTCGGCCCTGTCCCTCTGTCTCCCGCTGGCCTGGCATCCCTCCGAGGCTATCCAAAAGGCCCCAAAGCGGCAGGAGCACGCCTCGGGGCAGCCGCAGCGGTGAGCGTGAGGACGGGAGACATCGGGGGCAAAGGTGAGGGGAAGGGGGCCAGGAAACACAGTGTCACTCAGCCAACGACCCACTGCCACAGCCTCTCCTCCTTTCTGAGATTGTGATGGGCTCTGAAGAGTGACACAGAAAACCAGCATTTCTGGAGCACTGACTTTGTGTAGGCAATTTCTAGACAGAAACAATTGCAAGTGTGTGCACATGCGTGTGTGCGTGTGTGTGTGTATGCACGTGTAGGAGGGGAGGTGGCCTTCCGGGTGGGGGAGATAGCTTCTCTGAGGATGTATTTTGAGGGCACAGGCCATGTCTCACCCCGTGTCTCCGACTTGCTAAAGACATCATCTCGGTCAATACGAATTACTTTATCTGCCCTTGACGTAAAACTCTTACGAGTAACTGCAATTCCTCTTGCTGAATTCAGCAGTGAGCAAAGCACACACTGCTGTCCCCCAGAGAGGAGATCGGCACTCACCAAACCACCAGGGAACCAAAGGAAACTCACAGGGATGAAACACTGAGCCACCTACCAGAGGTCCGGAAGGTTCCGCCAGGGCACCTCAGCTTTCCCCGTTCTACGAAATCTCATCCAGAGTATTTCCTGTTCTCAGGGACCTGTGTGATCTGAGTTGTCCCTCTGCACCCAAGTGAAGGGAGGGCCCCCAAGTCGCCCCGAAGCCCCTGGGGAGACAGGGGTACTCAGATCCTCCGCAGAACACTGTGCGTTACGCTTGGGCAAGGAGCAAATTCGTGATTGCAAACAACAGGGATCTGCATGTCTAAATTCTGATACCTAAACTCACTTTTTAAGAACAGCAGCCACTTCACAAGTTTCACATCTGACACTATTTCTTCTCTCTGACCTAAAAAATACCTTTATAAGGCTGCTGCGTTTCTATGGCCCTTAATTTATAAACTCCTTTTCTCTCAAAATGCTGGCAGCTTACAGTTTTACCCACTACTGAGAAGGATCTACTGATGGTGGCGGCAGAGTTGAAGCCATAGGATTGAGAGCCATAAACCACATTTAAAAATAGACGGTGTTCGTGTACGTTAATTATCCACAGCGCTGCTGAGTCATCCCATTACTGCACTGGAAATCACCAGGCCAACGCGGCAGCCTCCGCGGCAACCCGGGGGCGTTCTCTCACCCACTTCTGTCTGCATCTGTCTGTCCTGATCCTTCTCTCTTCACACGCACAGACACGTGTGCACACATGGTCACACGTGTACTGTCACACATGAACAGTCATATGTGTGCACAGTTTCCCACAAGGGAACCACAGTGTGTTGGGGTTGGGAGGACCGCAGAAGTCAGCTCCTGTCCAACCAGATAATTACACACATGACCCTGAGTCCTGAGAACTCACTCACTGTCCCACAGCCAGTCAATTACAACGTCCAGAATCTAAAACCCAATGAATACGCCATTCTTTGAAAGGAGAAAATGTGTGTGTGTATGTGTGTGTTGAGGCTATTTTTAAAAGCTGAAAACATCAATCCATGTTCTTAAAAACTTAAAGTGACAAATTCTATGCGCCACCATGCGCTAAGCAGCAGAAATCCCAGGGTTCCATCTTCTTTCTTCTAGTCACAGACCTCTATTGACTTCATGATTTATATAACACACGCACACCAAAACTAAAATGTGGAAATGCAAAAAATGAAGTGGTATTATTTTTAGAATCTGGGAATAAATCATACTAGTCACGTGCAACAGTCACAATGTCTTCAAAACCACAGTTCTACTGCCGAGTCTCCAGACGGGTCACGAGCAGTTCGCTGCACCCTTGCTGTCAGCTGCTATTCAGCCGTGAGCTGACATGCACACTCCTTTGAGTCCCATGCGGACTCGTCCCAAAACATACACAGTGCCCCCGCCTGGGGCAGAAATCACATTTCCGCTCTGCCGGGCATCAGGTCATACAGTCAAGGACCACGGCCCTCCACTCCTTCCCAACTGCTTTCACAAAGCACCTAGGGCGCACGACCAATTTTTTGTATGAACATTACTGACAAGCAGCTAAACTACTGCAGTGAGCAAAGTAAGGACCCATTGAGGCAAATGGCTCCCTACGGATCACTGCAGAGCCTGGAAGGCACAGGGGACATGTCACGTGGGACCCGGGGCTGGCTGTCCCTACTGGCCTCGCTCCAGCCTCAACTACCCATGCCTTTGATCACGTGTGAGCGTGTGTGCACACATGTGCATGTGTATGTGTGTGCATGTGCATGGGGGTACATGCATGTGCATGGCGGTCCCAGTAGGCTGCAGAGTCTGTTAAGCCACGTGAGACGGCACGTCTGCCCTCACAGTCCCCCAGCAGCCAACGCAGTGCCTCCACAAGGCGAGCAATACTCGTCTGGCATCCTGATTTTTGCAAAGATTCCAAACTCAGGACTCAGGTGCGCAGGAGGGAAACAGGGTTGGCAGATATTAACTCTCCTTAAAAGCACCTGATGAAATGGCTTCCCAGAGCCAAGGCCAAGACACAACCCATCAGGTAAGAGGGGACATAGTTCCCAAGGAAGAGGGTCTGCAAAGGCACCAGAGATCAGAAGACCTCACCGCCAGACCCCCACACAGACGCGCTATCCATCTCTCAAGACACACTCATGCACGTTCCAACGGGATGAGCAGCTCTGTTTAAACGTGAAGAGCAGGGACCAAAGAGGCTAACTTTACCATTCAAGGAGCGTGCATTAAACCTAATCTACGCGAAAGACTAAGGTGCTGGTGGAAATTAAAAAATGCTCAAAAAGACGACAAAATAGCAAATAACATACATTTCAAGTCAACACAGGCCAGCTTAACATTTGAATTAAGAAAAGTGGCAGAAACCGGGTACATGCAGGCACCTGTGAGCTGGCTGCTGGAGGAGGCAGGAGGGCGGAAGCCTGATTTCCATTCGGTGGCAGCCATCTGAGCCCCCGCCCCCAGGCAGGACCTGAAAATGACAGGGGCTTCCCTCTGGCCCACCCCAGGCGACACTGCTGAGAGCAGAGGTCAAGAGCAGAGACCTGGGGTCAGCCTGCGGCTACAGCCAGCCTGGGACCCTGAGCCGGGGCTTCCCCTCACACATAAAATGGGGGAATTGACATTATTGAGCAAAGCTGTGTAAGGGTTAAAGGGGACGACGCTCGCTCCTTGGCAGAGCACCTGGTACATATCAGACGCTCAAAAACTATGGTCCTAACAGTGCCACCTTCAGAGGGACTTCACAGGCTGGAACTGGCCTGAATTCGGCCCCCCTGGAAATGGCAAACTTGGTGTACGTGAGCACCTTCCTCCACTGCCTACTCGCCCGGTTGTCACATGTGCGCATTTACCATGGCAGGTCTGAATGGTGATGTCCCCTGGGGACAGTCTGAGTCGTCACAGGGGTTGGGGGCTACTGGCATCTTGGGGGGGAGACCAGAGACGCTGTGAAACACCCCCACAACACCCAGGACAGCCCCCACAACTCGACCGGCCTGAATGTCAACAGCACGTGGCTGAGAAGCCCTAGCCTAGGGCACAACATCCACCCGAGTCCGCCCAAGCTGCCACGGTGCTTCCGCAGGCCTGGAAACCCAGGAAACACTCAGGAAGCATGATGCCTCCAATGGGCAATGAGGATGGGGAGGAGACACCGAGGCCTCCAGATGTGACAGGCACATTAGAACTGCCAGAAGGGCAGGACGATGCCAGACCAAGAGGAGAGTGGTTCAGAC